ATGCAATATTAAGTCTGATATAATATACGGTTTCAAATGTTTCATAATTGCAAAATAATTTTGTGTTTTTTTGTAAAAAGTTTAAAAGCGTATTGTATTACGAATTCGAGTGCGTGGTCTTATGAACGATAAAAATAATATATCATACTTTATTTGCTGACGGTACCTGTCGTAGACCGAGAGTCCCTCCCGATAAGAAATGCACACATTAGAACCTCTGCTCACAGAGCAACGAGAGCATTCGAAGTAAGGTCACGGCATTTGAAAATCGGTCCAATAATTGTCATAAGTTTTTTATAATTACCGAATACAAGTAATTTTATATTATCTTATTAATATTATAAATGCGAATGTTTAGATGTATGGATGTTTGTTTGAAAATATCCTACACGGCTTAACGAATCTTGATGAAATTTGGCACAAATATAGAATACAGTCTAGAAGAACACACTACTTATTAAGTTCTTTTTAATTCCCCGCAGACGTCCTGGGTAACAGCTATTTTCATTATAATAAAGGTTGTTTTATTTATATTATTATTATTTTTCTTTAGCTATATTTAACAAGCCTGGTTTTTAAAAGAATATATAAAGAATTAATAGCGTTTTACATAATATAATAGTGGTTGCGAACTTATAAGAAGTTTAGTAATCTAACGTGTCTTCTTTAAGTAAGATAGTAGACGAATTTTAAAATCTTTCAACTGATTTTTTTATCAAATAAAATCACATCGATGGATATTTTAATCCGGGCAAAGCGCATTCATATATCCGCAGAATCAGACGGTGTTCCAAGTGCCACAGACTGTACGAAATCTAATAATATCGACTTGTCTACTGAGAAAAATTCACCGAGACATGCGGTAACAGAAATTAAACATAATGAAAGCAAATGACGCGAGATTCTGATAGAATTCCCACCCCAGACGGAGTCTTGTTCTGTGATTTGGTTAAGTGGGTTTATATTAGTAAATGTATGTTTATTGTTAGGAAATTATAATATTTAACTATGACGTTCCATTACCAACATACATTTAAAATAACATATCATGTCTTTTATTTTTAAACTATAGTTCTATAGGTACGGATTTCCGATCACGAGGTCGAGAGTTTGAATCCCGCCATTCGACTATTGTCGTAAACCATGTCCTAACACAAGCCTAGAGCTTAGTTGGAATGGTAGAAAATATTAGTAAATTCACAAGAATCTGCTAATATTTTATAACAAAAATAAGGGTCTTGTAGCAGTCGGAAAATATGTGAACTAACAATGTCTTCTTGACAGCGTCATATCTATTTATATATGTAAAAGAAAGTCGTGTTAGTTACACTATTTATAACTCGAGAACGGTTTTACAGATATGGCTGAAAATTGGTGAGGAGGTGGCTTAAAGCCAGAGGACGGACATAGGATACTATTTATTCTTTTCGAATCTATGCCTCGAAGAGCTGCTTTTTATTTAACTTACTAATATTATAAATGCGAATGTTTAGATGGCTGTGATGTGGATGGATGGATGGGTGGGCCAACACTAATTAAGTTTTTTTATATATCCACGCGGCCGGAGTCGCGGGCGACAGCTAGTTTTGTATTAGAGAATGGCAAGTGAGTTGCAATTAATTTACAATTCGTTTAAATAACTACTCATTAAATTCTGATTTTTCTTTAGTTTAATATTGTTTGCAATTTACTTTACTTATGTACATACTCTTTTGTTTTATATTTTTTTATTGTTTATGCACCATTACTTTATATATGTTGTGTTTATCTGTAAGTGAAATTACATGTTGCCTGAAACCTTTTTATAATAGTGCCTAAAGTGTATATAAGAACATATGTACCGTTGCTATTAAAACACTCGTTTTATTTATTTAAAACATTGAAATTCCATAAAAGTTAATTTACTGACATGTTTTGATACTTAGATAAAAAAAATGTCACATAATCTTAATTGTACTGTATCTGGCGTGTCATTTTAGAAAATGACAAAGATGTGTAAGTAGGTTTTATATATATTCTGTCAGAATCAACTCTCTCACCGGGACTTCCCTTGTCGGTCTATAATAAAGAAGTCGTTGATTTTAATTTTCAGCTATTTTCTTAAACAATGCTAATATTCTGACAAGCGCTAACAAAGAGTTTCTTGAGCGAGCAATAAGGTCAGACGTCAAGTCAGTAGCCTGTAATTATATAAAATTGTGTTGCGAAAGACTTCGAAACCGAGTGAATCTGGAGAGCCAACATGTTCACGATTTCTATTACATTTGGGCAAAGTTAAAATTTACAACTTACATGGTCTTATTGTGAGTGCAGTAAAGTTATTTTTAGTGTCTTAGAGATGAAAATAAGGTGATACGTGTGGGTTAAACTTATTCGAACAAAATTACAGTCGACAATTGTGGTTCACTCATGAAAGGGCTCATTCCAGACATTTTGTGTCAAGAAAGATGTTTTGTAATGTTAGATAGAGTTCAAGAATTTTATTTTATTCATTAGCTGTCGCCTGCGACTCCGTCTGCTCGGAAAAGTAAAAATTAGTAACATATGTGTTCTTCCAGACTGTGTTCTACATCTATGCCAAATTCAGCCCTGCAGCCGTTCTGGTGATACCTTCAAACAAACACCCATCCATATATTTTTATAAGAGAAGGGAGCAAACCAGCAGCGGGAACACCGAGATGTATCAGCAATACCAGAGGAACCACAAAACCGTTGCCGGCCTTTGAAATGGTGAATCTAAACATTCGCATTTATAATATTAGTAAGATTTCATTATCATGTAAATTTAAAAATTAGTGAAGAGTATTGAAAAAGTGAAATAAGTCGGAGTATTTCTTTCTTTCACTATAATCACATATCTATGACCGTATTCTATAAATGTTGCTCTGACAGAAATAAAACCAAATTAATTCCTCTAACCGTTCTCTAGCATGTCAAAGCGTTGACAATAGATTTGGTGTCGCATTCTAATATGGGAAACATCCGCTACTTAAGTAAAACTCTGTCAAATGACATCGTAATGTCGCTTTAATTCGTTCAGACGTGTGTAATTCTCACGTATCATCGCTTGATGATGAACGAATGACAAATTGCGTAAACTGCTGGGATTTCTATTGTTTCTGAACGAATTTACACAAAACAACACTTAGTTGCACAAAAAATCATTTAATGACAAATATTTATTAGCTAGCGTTGATGTTAGTGTAGTAGAGTAATATGGTGATAAAGTTTCCTTTTTTTATTATATCATAAGGAGGCAAACGAGCAAACGGTCACCTGAAATCGATGAAATAGCGAAGTGATTGTTGCCCATAGACATACGTAATAGCATGTGCGTTGCTTACCTTTAATCGATGGAGGAGAGGATGTAAAGAAAGAAAATATTTTCCCTTTCCAGGCATCCTCTCATCCGGAAAGTCCACTTCCATTTCCCACGCTTTCCTAATAAGTGGGAAGGGAAATAGGATTAAATTAGGCCTCCGGGACGCGCAATCATCAGACGAAACGCGGAATTGCTTCCACTTGACGCATGTCTTCTGTGTGGTCGTGGTATTTCACCCGGCGAGCCGGGCCTAATCGTGCGAAGATGTTAAAGCGGATCTACCACTGTTAAATTAACAGCGTGTTAATTAAAGTAGTATGCAATTAGAATGCATTTATGTATTTGGAACCGATCTTAACACTTTTGAAAATTATAAAAATCTATTCTTTTGTAAAAAAAAAACAAAAAATTATTTAAATTAACCTATATAAAACTATTTCTATATTAAATAGCGTCTATTTAAATTACATTAAAAATTATGAATTGTAATATTACTTAAAACTTATTTTATACTATAATTCAATTCAAAATAAAAAGTGTTCACAAAACGTCCAAAACAAAGCGGAAATTTTTTTCAACTTGTCAACAGTTGAAAAATTATAACGCCATCTTTATTTTAAATATTTAACTACTAAGCCAAGGATAGACCTATTCTGTATTCAAGCTCAAAATAACGGATAAATAGTTTTGGTTCTTCCAACTAGATGTCACTGTAACAAATTACTGAACAACATTTAAAAGCTCACGCTGAGTTCACATCACAATATTGTATAACTAATTTTTTTAACATCTATGCATTGAAAATAATTGTATGCTATGGACGTATTATATACAATACAATGTAAAAATATACGTAAATAATATTTACCTACATATACGACAAAAATAGTAATCGAATGTTACTTTCACTGGTAGTCTTATAGTGAAAATCTTTATATATATAATTCTTGTGCGTGTGTATGTCACTGAACTTCTCTCAAACGGCTGAACCGATTTTGATGATTTTTTTTGTGTGTGTTCAAGGGATCTGGGAATGGTTTAGATTCACAATTTTGTCCGCTGGACAATGTTTTTTTAATTAATTTTTAATTTATTATTATTAGTTGTTGATTTTGGAATGTTTTACATTGGATCCGACAGATGGCGCTACCATCGCAGTGTCAAATTTTAAATAATATTCGAATTAAAGACGTGTAGACAGGACAACGTCTGTCGGGTCCGCTAGTGTTATAATAAAATAGAAAATTAATTAATAAAAACAAAATAAATACGTCACATATAATTGGCGGGTTGAATGAACCGATAGAGTTGCCATATCTAGGCATTAAGTGATAATGTCTATAAGTAATGAATGAAAATTGTATTATATTCCATTAATAAAAAAAATACTCATTTAGTACATTGGCGATGTATCATTGACCTTCAATATATCAGTACTTCAATATTATCTTGATAAAAGCTTTCTGTATAATGGACTACCGTACATTAAGCTTATCTGGAGAGCTTTTACGAAAATATTCATTTTGAACTAAACATTGTACAACGTACAAAATCTTTTACTTTGTGTTCATTCAGTGTGAAAGTACAGATTTAAGGTAGCACAGTTCAAACTAGATTCTTCATACTACAAGTTAGAGTTAAATAAATTCATGTGTATTTCAATGATAGCTTTTTTGTCATGGATAACAATAGTGACTATGATGAAATGTTTTTAAGATATGGTACGAATTGGACAGCTGATTATTTGGACGATGTGAGTATAGTTCTGTTTGATATGCAATAAATTTTAATTACCTTTTCTGGTAGAGTCTTTGAATTTTTCAACTCAAGAAGGTCGTATTCAAAGATGGCCTTTGTTTTCTACAATAAGTCTAAACTTTGGTTGCTCATACTCTACCACGAATTCTTTATAAAGTTCTAGCAATTCCGTACCTTAGGTAATCAAACCTCCCATAACAATAACCAGAGGTGGGTTTCGGGGACCGAAATCTCTATATTTAACATGTCCTTGATAAAACAGAGGTAGCATTATGTTACAAACAAGGATTTTGGTCTCAACAACCCATATTAAGTGCTTCTTTCAGATCGATACATCACAGTATCCATTTCCCAATGTACTATGGCATCGGAAATCAACAAGAGAAGTGACTGTCAAAGCATCTGCAATGGTTGTTGTTGGCATTATGGGTATCTTCCTCAATTCCATAATTCTCATCATCCTCATTAAAAATAGATGGCTCTGGACTGCCAGTAATTATCTCGTGGGAAATCTGGCCTTAGTGGATCTTTTGACCTTGATATTATGCCCTTGGTTCATGCTGGTCAGAGATTTCTATCAGCATTTCGTTTTAAGGAATTTCGGGTGCAAATTCGAAGGATTTCTACAAGGTATAATTATCATAGCTAATGTTTTTTCAGTGTTACAGCGTTTTCTTTTTATGACTAGCTGTTAGAAAAATAAATGTTCTACATTAATGCCAAATTTCATAGAGTTCCATTGAGCTGTTCTGGATATATCTTTATACAAACATCCATGCATCTAAACATTCGCATTTATAATATTAGTCAGATTATTATTTAGATATGGAAGAAGTTGAAATCTTATGGTATCCAACTCATGTTTACTGGAGACAATAAATTTCTTATCATGTTTCCTTCAGCGACTTTTCTCCTAGCTAGTGTGGGAGCAGTGATATTAGTCTCCTACGACAGATTGGCCGCGGCCGCTCTCAACTCTGAAGCGAGAGTTACCAAGTCAGTTGCTCCAAAGCTGATCTTTGCAACTTGGTTTATAGCAATCGCACTGTCACTGCCTTGGAGTGTGAAGAGAGAATTTATGGTAAGTAAAAATAATTGTCACCCCGGGGGCCTTATTTTAGTCCTTCCAACCTTTTTCTTATAGGAAAAGGATGAGAAGTGGAAGTGGATTTTCCGGATGAGGGGACACATGTATATTCACTTTCTGTGCATACCGTCCTCGGTCGATTAAAGGCAACGCATCTGCAATTGCGTTTGTGTGCGACGAGGATCGCTTCGCTATTTTAGCGATTTCAGGTGGCCGCTCACTCTTTTGCCACCTTATGATATGTAAAATAAAAACTTAGCAACATTTCTGCTAAGAATTGTGTTTAAATTAACAATTTTTAGGAACGGCAGTGGCTGGACTACTTGGAGATGTACTGCGCGGAAGATGTCAAAGTTCTAAGTATTTACTGGCATTTCATTACAATTCTTTTAGTCTGGCTTCCATTAGGACTGATGATTGTAACGGTGAGTAAAATTTAAAAGTCCGTTTCACAATTAAACACATCTGCTTAATTCATTCTACTTTTGTGCTATCATCATTTCAGTATGGTACAATAATATGGCGCTTGGAATGGAGTGCTCGGAAACTATCGTCTAACGGAGGAGGTCAGGTGGTTAGCAGAGCCAAGGGTAGGGCAATGAAGATAACAGCCTGTGTGCTGCTCGCAGCCGCGTTCTGCAGAATCCCCTACACGGTACTGGTCTATTGGAGGAATAATTTAACGCTGGAGATTAATGCCGTAAGTATACAAAGATCCAGAATTATTTAAAAAATTAGGTGTAAAGTTCAGCATAATCTGTTGTTTCCCAATTACGCAACGACATCATCCATTTATTTTACATGCTATTAGTTCTTTCACAAGTTTCTCCGTCTAGAATGCTGTTAATATTATCTGAATTATGTAGTAATTGTTTTATGATTTAAATTGGTCTTCATTCCCTTTTTCATACTTAGGTCGAAGGTGCCTACAACATTATGTGGTTTGTTGCAAACTATCTGATATACGTGAACTGCGCTATAAATCCTCTTATCTACGGTTTTACCAACCTTAGATTCCGAAGGGCTATGGACAGGACTGAAGGTGTTGCTTGGTTCAGATTCAGTTCTTGGTGTTGCACGTGTTCTATGGTTAGTATTTCAAAATCTGTAACGAAGCTTTAGCAAATCACAGCTGGAGACCAGCCAGTATCATTGCCATGCACAAATTAAAAAAATTGGGCAAAATTCTGGAATTTGAAAGTAAAGAGAAAAGAAAAAGAAAATCATTCAAATAATTAAAGTTTCGACTTTACGACAAACTCTAATAAGGTCTTTCATCCATTGATTTTTTCTGAAAGGTTTATTATACTCATTATTTATATATTTTCAGTTTAACACAAAGAAAGGACCACCGCCAGACAAGAATATGGCAAAGATTTTCGTGATAGAAACCAGTCCTTGTCCAAATAAGAAGATAACGCGAGTGATCAAGAACATACTTCACATAAATAGAGACGCTGTTGAACTCAGTGTGCCGAAAGTTGAAGAAGTCACAACGAAACCAACTAAAATCACACCAATCAAAGTAGACAACATATAGAAAAATACATTATTTCAGGTTGAAAGGCACTTCAATAAAATACAGAGAACTCTACAAATTTACATTAAAGAGATTATAGGATAGGAAAATATATTTTTTTAAGGGAAAATTGCTTCATGTTATTAAAATGCTTGGATAATTAATAAAGACTTTTATTTATGCATTAGGAATGGTTAATATAATGAAAAATATATTTAATATTTATCTTGAGATACTTAAAGTAGTTTTTAAGTCTGGATAACTTATTTGATAATAAGATATATTTTTATTTGTTTAACGCATAGTCTGTTTTTGCTTTATTTAATCTTCTTAGCTTCTGTAGTCATGTTACCTACTTTCAACTTCCCAATATGTTAAATATGTCTTCTGTTTTTACAAAATAAATTAATACTTAAATTAGTTTTTAATAGACGGTGTCATTCGGGAAAACTGTTAGCTGTATCCAATTGATTTGAGAGTTCTTTGACTTTTGCTTCCAATGTCTCAACCATATGTGGCTCTACTCTCAATATGTTCGTCGCCTCCTGTAGTAAAGCCATACTTTGCATTAGCTGGTCCTGTAAGAAAAGATGTTGTCTATGTTTCGTTAAAATGGTTAATTCATTAATAGTTTGATGACGTCACATGTGTGGTTATAAATATCAACTAGGGCGATGTCTTGAAATACAAATTTTATAATCCTAGACAAGTACATACTAATTTGGCATCAAGTCAATTATTCACGTAAACCGTTTTCGAACGACTCAAGACTTTGGTAAGTGATTGTTATGGAACATCTATGAAAAAAGAAATGACAATTGACCTGTGCTCCAGTTTTTGTTAATTTTTGATCTTCAAATTCTCTCTTCGTCTGCATTGACATAGCTGCTTGAAGCTCCAAAAGAATCGTACCACGAAATCTTGTCCATCCAGGTTCCAACTTATCTGCTAATTCTAGCAGTTCGTGACAGATTTCTATTTTGCGATTCAACAAATCGTTCGGGAGTTCTGAAACATGGGACTAAATGTAAAAGCTCTATAAATCATTTGCGTACGTAAAATTAATTTAGAATTGAATCAAATACCTGGTAATGTGTATCCTTCATAGTTTCCATAAATTTGCGCCAAAGCTAATTTCGCTTGAACTATCAAATGGTTTCTTGGGTGCAAAGTTAATTTGTATTTCTCTATAAACTCCTCTAGTTCCTGTGGTCCACTTTTATTAAGCTTATTTAAATCTTGTTTCAATGCATTATTTCCCCAAAACATTTGTCGGCTTTGAATATAATGGTCACATTTCTCGCATTTCCATGGTGCGGTTTCATCAAATGTATTCGTGGATACAAGCATTGCTCCCGTAGATAAACCGTTATCATTGAATAGTCCATTGCAAAGTGAACAGTATATGTTACCTAAATAAGTACCAAATTCAGTTGGATCTCCACATCTTTCACACTCACAATCAAAACATTTAGTTTGTTTTAAATGTTTTCTTCTATCTAGCGTCCCCCATAAAGATTGAGTGTATGTAGCTGTTATGAGCTCACCTTTAGCTATGGGTACTGTTGCTAAAAGCACTATATTGTAATCTTTACCCACGAAAATATGACGAGTATTAGGTCTGCAATGATGGTTCATCATCGAAGCTGTAACATATATGGCTCTAAATCTCTTACTACCGTCCGGAGATCTGACATCAAAAGAGTTTGTGTCAAAAATGGATGCAACTTGTAGAATCGTCTCGTCCTTGAAAGGCAATCCAATAACGTTCTTAATGAAAGCTACTAGATTAATTTTTAACACATTGTACAAGTGTGTATTAATACGTTTATCTAAATGTGATTCCAGATTCATTATATTGTCAAATTGTTTAGGATTTGATTCCTTCATTAACAAAACTCTAAGTGGTGCAATCACACAATATGCTGCTTCGGCTTTTTCCGGGCTATCATATTTTATACTACTCTTATAGCCTTTACCTGTCATAGCCTTACATTCATTTTTATGAACCTCATCTTTTGCACATTCTAGGCTACACATGGGCCAATTGCATAATGGACATTTGTAGTAATCTAAGTTTTCTTCTATCATACTTGGTTGCAATTTCTTTGCGCAAGATAAACAATGCGCTGTGCTGGCCATTCTGGGGCCGGTCACCGCTGGTTTCTCTTTAAGGATAATTTCTCCCTGCTTGATATCTCTAGTAGCTATCATATGTCTGCCTAAGGCGGAGGTGAATTGAATTTTGAATGGGCAACATTTCGTCTTGTGTCCGTCTTTCCATCCTTGTTTCTGGTGCGACCTGGAGCAGTAATAGACCTGTTTGCAGCCGCCGCATGTCTGGTTCGCTGGCTGTTGGCAGACATCACAAGTTGGTAGTTCCCTTTTAGATTCCATTTTTGTTTTTTTGCATCTGTCACTCGAAGACGCTAGGCACGCCCGATCCGGCCCGGTCCCAACACAATACTCGTCCAAAATAGATACATATAATTATCTCTACGCAACTAAACATTTGGGAGATGTGCCAACAAAATGAAAAACTGCAAACCACGGCTCTTTTGTAATAACAAACTGTAATGTGTTCTCGGACGGATTACCGGTTTCAACATCGTTAGGAGAATTCAAATTGTCTTGAAGAATTTTAAAACGTACAAATTGAAATGCGATAGTGTCGTTTAATCGTTTAAATAAAAAACCTAATGAATTCTTTTACGTCGCAGCTGCTTTCCTTTTAAAATATGATTGTTTCTTGTTGTATATTTAATCGTGTGGCAGTTTCATTAAATTTTGTTAGATATCGTCAGTAACTAATGCCAGAGAATATCGTTATTTTTATTTTACATCATTATAGAGAGGAAACTAAATTAGAATTTTGTTTTAACCGTTAGTATCGGCCCGAGACCAATACTACATTGAATTCCAATAAAAACGGACGCATATTGAAAATCAGTTAAAAAAGGGTCTTGACAGACAGACGGATGGACAACAAGGTGATCCTATAAGGGTTTCGTTTTTTTCCTATGAGGTACGGAACCCTAATAATTACCCTCCTATCATACGGGCAATACTCGAAAGTGACGATCGGTAACCCAGGAAAAAAAAGTTTATTTAATTCAAGAAATATCTAGATCAATAGCTCCAGGCTTAAATCTCTGACATTTTTATGTTACGAATATAACATATGCATGTAATGTGGACAGATTTATACCAATTACGTAAGTCGCTGGACTCAAGCACCCAGTCGTGAAGACTCGGTCGGTTAGTACGCTCATATGTTCAAAGAAAACTTAACAGTGAAAAATCCACGTGTGGAAAAAAATTAAGGTGTGTTTTTGTGAGTGTGTGTGTTTTAAGCGCGTTGTTTTTTCAAAATTAAATAAGGTTGGTAAGTAAAGAGGTTTTTAAGAGAAAATTAATTTGTCGTGTTACAAGCTATGGTTAAAAGTTTAAAATATTCATATTACATAATTATTCGACATTTAAATTAATAATTCCCAGGATTGTTGTATTCTTTTAAAATTTGTTCATGAAATTACGTATTTATTTTATAAATAATACACGTATGTAAAACTAACCCAACCCAAGATATTTAAGATAAAACTTTAACTCGAAGAAATCAATCCAAAACGTTACTAATAACATAGAAGGAACATTATAACATTAATAGTAATCATAGGATTAACCTGTAAAGTATCGAATCGAATTAAAGACACGGTTATAAGATTATTTGCGTATGGTACGAGAATAGAACGCCGTATCCCACTAACCGATTTCAAAGAAAATGTGATTTGCAACACATACAATTTACATAACTAACTCATAAATATATATGTATACACATATGTATTATATGATTAGGGAGGATTTTCATATAAAGTAATGGAATTTTTTTTTTTATTTGCGAGAATATATTGAACTAACTGTATTGAAATTTGTGACTAAGTTATTAAAATCAATCGTCAAATTATAAAAGTTAGTATGTATGTTAAAACAACTGTAAACCAAATAATACAGTTGGGTACTGTTTAGTTAAACACGTATTTTAACCCTTTCAACGCCGGTGATATTATGGAAATCAATATGATTACAAAGTACATGTATCAGTACAACTGCTCCCAGTATGAGCTTTTTGTTATTTATTTTTTAAGATATAATTTTTATCTCTTATATCAGCGGTAAAAGGAACATATATGTTTAAGGTAATATGTTTTTGAAGCACTGATTTCTAGAGGGTTAAAGCCTAAGTGCTTTAATGAAACTCTTGGAAATGAAGTAGGTAGCGATCTATTTTATTTCTCTATAAATTAGTGTATAAATATAAATCAACAAAATTAAATATTTGTTTACATGAATTACTTATATGACAAGTCGATTACGCGTAACATTGCTGTACTCTACTCTAACATTGATAAGATTTATTACTAGCGTTGGTAATAAAGCTAATGTAAATACTATATTGAAAATGTTATTAAAATTCATTTCAGAATCATGGGGCAAAATGACAATTCTACAACACCGTACAAGGTAATTTTTGTAACAATGCCATCTAGCGGAATTTTGTTACATCAAATTAAATTTCTGGATTACCAGTCTGGAGCTTGGAAGAGTGCTTTTTATCTGTAACTTGTGAACAGGTGGCGTTAAAATAGTAAAATCATTAATCTAGAATCATACAAGTTAACTTCTTTTATAATACTAGATGTCGCCCGCGAGTCCGTCCATGCGGAATTAAAAGAAAATTAGTAGCCTACGTGTTCTTCCAGACTACGTTCATGATCTATGCTAAATTTACTTTGTAAAAAACATTTATCCATACATCCAAATATTCGCATTTATGATATTAATAAAAAAATAATCCGATATTAAATGTTAAAACTTTTTGCCATTCCAGGTAGCGAGTTCAGATGAACTAGGACGATATATGGTCGCGACCAGAGACCTGCAGCCCGGGGATCTGGTCTTGACCGAAAGGCCGCTGGTCTTCGCACCAAAAGCAATGCTTGATCCGGAAGCGCAGATGCCTTGCGTTGGCTGTTATAAGCCTGTATTCACAGACATTGGAGAAAGATGTGCTAAGTAACGTATTTTTATGAACTGTACTAAACACGCTCGTCTACACTACACCTCGCTCTCTTTGGCCGTTGGCTCGCTGCGGAAGACGCGAGAGAATAATTCACACTGAACTATCCTATCCTATTTTTTTTTGTCCTTAAGACGATAATAACAACTTAACTCCGTAAATCGGGATTGTACTTAGAATTTTATGCTGTACACGTTCATAGAAATAAAAGTACCGAGTTTTATACTTTTATTTCTAGAAAATTGAGCTCGTTCTGTGTTCTGATTATATTGAGAGTGATTAGTAAAGAAAATTTACTTTAATTCCCACGAACTAAAGATCTCTAAATGATTGTTAAAGATCCACGTAGGTCTGTCAAACTAATATTGTTTTAGTAAAAAGTAATTGTACGGGAGTACGGCTTTGTGCATATTTGTAAGGTTCCAGCGTATGTCTTAGAATGTAACTAACAATATAATATATTTGTTTAATCATTTCCAGATGCGGCTGGCCAGTGTGCAGCGGTAACTGTCCAGGTTTAGTTGACCCCCGACATCACGGGGTTGAGTGTGCCGTTCTAAGTACTCGCCCCGATTGTGTACTTGATAATATGGCTGATTACTACAGGTAAAGGTCACATGAATTGCATTTAAAATAAAGTAAAATGTAGTAGAGTATACTTACTATCACCCGCGACGCCGTCCGCGCTGTTTTAAGGAATTCATTAGTAGCCTATGTGTTCTTCCAAACTATGTTCTACATATATGCCGAATTTCAGCGATATCTGTTGAGTCGTTCTGGAGATAACTTCACACAAACATCTATCCATTAATGTATCATTGTTAACGTTTGCATTTATAATATTAGTAAGATATTTGTTATTTTTCAGGCACGATGCTTTACTACCATTGAGATGTATACTTCTACTAAATACTGAGCCTGAGAAGTGGAAAAGCGTATTGGATATGCAATCGCATATGGAGTGCAGGGGTCCTGGTACTGAAGCTTACGAGTAAGTTACATTCATAATTTTTTTTTTACATTTTGTGTGCTCTAGTCGAAAATTGACTACAGAATCCTAACAGAAAGGTAAATGTAGACAAAATAAATCATACTAGTATAACAAATGCGAATGTTCACATGGATAGAAGGACGGATGTTTGTTTGAAGGTATCTGCCGAATGGCTGAATGGATCCGGCTAAACTGCTACTAATAAGGTTTTTTTTTATTTCCGCTCGGATGGAGTCGCGGGCGACAGCTAGTCTAGGTATAATTTCATATTTGTTTCTTGGTGATTGTGATGTAAATCGGCTAGCAGGTTGCCATAATTAAGGTCGTAATTGTCTTAATATTAGTACCATTTAATATAGTCTATTAACATGGTTACCTAAAAGTTGGTCATAACATCATTTTATTCTTTTCAGAGAAGCCAATGAATTCATCGTTGAATATCTACTTGAGAATTTTATTAATAAATTAGATAAAAATATCAAAGATAAGTATTTAACAGATATTTCTAAAAAACTAATTCATAGAATCTGTGGCATTATTGATACGAATGCGTTAGAAATACGTTTACCCGAAGGCGCAGAACTTCAAGCTTTATACGCTAATACTTGCATCTTAGAGCACAGTTGTATTCCGAACACGAAACATACATTTAACCAATCAAGCGCAGACAAAAATGATTCATATAAAATAACTGTTAAAGTCGTTATTCCTATAATGAAAGATGAACATATCACAACGATGTATAGCCACGCGTTATGGGGAACAGAAGCTAGGAGACAACATTTGAAGGATACCAAATATTTCTCTTGCAAATGTCCAAGATGTAGCGACCCGACTGAATTAGGTACATATTTAAGTGCTATGAAATGTTTTGGTGATGGAAATAAATCTTGTAATGGGGTGCATTTACCGCAAAATCCTTTAGACGATGATACTGAATGGGCTTGTAGTGAATGTCCTGTCAAAGTGAATAATTCACAAATAAATATGCTGATATCTCAAATGGGTGAAGAAGTAGACGGTGTACTGATGATGGGTGGATCAGTTCCGATGTTGGAGAACCTCCTTTGTAGATTATCAACATTCTTACATCCGAATCATTATCATTTGTATTCTTTGAAACATTCTTTAGTTCAGCTCTATGGGAGACAACCAAGTTATATGTCAGAGGAAATTTTAGATAAGAAGATTAAAATGTGCAAAGATCTTATTCAAATTACGACTACTTTAGACCCAGGGAACGCTAGATTGAGTTTATATAGTTCGGTGTTGCAACATGAATTGCACTCCGCTCTAATCCTAAAAGCAAAAAAGGTCAAAAGTGATGGTAGCTTTAAAACTGCTGAAGAAATTAAATCATTACTTCTTGAAGCTAAAGTTTGTATTGAACGCGCTTTAGAAGTATTAAAAGATGATATGGAAGAAACATCAGGAAGAAAACTATATGACGTAATAGAAGAAAGTAAGAAGGACTTCGAAAAATATTGCAAAGAAAAAGGCATATCTTTGTAAAATAGTTTATTAGGCAATGTTATAAATTACAACTAATTTACTTAGACTTATTAACATCAAAAATGTTTGGAAAGACATGCAAAAATTCATATAAGTGAAATCAGTCAAGATAAAAACATATAACATATGTAACGTTATCATCATTTCATCGTTATCAGCTCACTAGACGTCCCCACCAGTGCGGGTTGACTTCACACATATCTTTGAATTTTTTCGCAGATATATGCAGGTTGCATCACGATGTTTTCCTTCACCATAAGAACGTCGGATAAATGTACATATAAAAATCGAAAAGCACATTGGTACTTGGCAGGATTTGAAACCAGGAGCTGCAGATTACCGACGCCGACGTTTCATCATCATTTACTTAATTTTAATTATTTGTTTTGAATTTATTAAATAGGACATGTTTAAACTCAAATAATTTATCTCCAATTTTATCAACCCGAACATAATTTACTACACTTACATTTTTTTACTATCACAGTTAAATCTTTGTCGTTATACTAAACCTATGTAACAATAAAAATAACAGTAAACTTAACCAAACTAAATAAATTCAATAATATTTCATCCCTTATTCATCCTCTTCTAGAGAATAAACTGAAGATAGATCTTGAATTATCATTGTTAACATTGTCTACAATCCAATCCGTATATCTGGAGACTCTGGTATAAATACCAGGCATCTTAGCTCGAGCACATCCACTTCCTGTTGATACCACTCCTACAACCATGGAATGACCTTTGTTACCTCGCACCATAAGGGGACCGCCACTGTCAGCCTGTAAACCAATTAGTTTTCTATAATTCAAATGTAACATCGATTCCAAAACAACAATGACCCCAAATTCTTAGCCGTACAGTAACAAAATTTTGCTTAAAAACTATAATAATTTTTACCCTATCCTTGCCTTCTTCCGTCTATTGTTTCTTTTTACTTATCTTACTAATATTATCTATGCGAATATTTAGATGGATGGATGGATGTTTCAAGGTATCTTGAGAACGGCTATATGGATCTCGCTGAAATTTGGCATAGATGTAGAACATAGTCTGGAAGAACACATAAGCTACTTATATAAGTTTTTTTTCAATTCCGCGATACGGAAGTCGTAGGCGACAGCTATTACGTTACGATTTGTAATGATAGGATGTTTAGTAGATACGAATATTCTTGATGACACCGGTCTATTTTACTAGTTATTTTAATAGCGGTAGTAAATCTTATATTACCCAGCAGGAATCCCTTCCTCCTTGTTCATGTCCCGCACACATTTGAGTCGATATGATCTTAATCTTACTGCCCTGTGATTCATACCAATTGTTACATTCATCGTTGGTTACCACGAATACATCAGTCTTCTGCAGAACATTAGGTCTTGATCCTGGAAATGTAAATGTTCAACTACAACAAGTATCAATTTCAATAGCTCTACTTTTAAGAAAGTTATCAAACATAGAATAAATAGTAGTTTTACGTAATTCGGACAATGTAACATCCTGTAAAAATTCATTATAATGTAATTAACTACATCACCTGTAACATCCTGTATACTATCAACTATCATTGTTGAGTATTGAAATATATTTTGCTCTACAATTTAAGGAGAAATATATAAAGTGATTCCATAATTAAAAATCGATTTTATAACTCCTTTAAATGTATAATTGAAGCTGTTTGCCAAATCGATTTAATTCAAATTAATATGAAAATTTCTTAAAACAATTAGTAAAAATATCAAAACAAAAGCTAACTAATGGAGTTTGCACACTTAAGTTTATTCATACCTATACCCCTATCTTCATTAGTAAATCCCCATCCTGCTACCACAGCTGGTGTACCACTGAAGTCGGAAGACGAAGCTTGCGGCAGACACGCCGGTCTGAGATCGCTGTTCCAAATCAATTGTCTGGCCGTTTTCAGTAGAGCTACGTCGTTGGATTTTCTATTACATCTGTAACATGCAATAATTCACATAATTACACAAATATTTGTATGTGGATATTGGTTACTGCTTTACGTCGCCTCTCACTGTACGTACGAAACGTCCAAACGATTCTTGCCCTGATTGTCAAGGTCAGATGTTTTTTTTAAACAATAAATGGTGTTTATAACCACTTTGTCTCCCTGTCCGCATACTCATTTCGAGTTTTTAACTTATATTTCTACAATACTTACCTGTATTCAGGGTGTGGAATAATTCTTGATAGCGGCTGATTAACATCGTTGTACGAGATGTCGGTGTATCCCGCGACGACTGTCAGTTGTTTCGACTTGTAAAACTCATCGAATACACTGAAAAGAACAGAAATTTTACACTTCACACGTAGAAAACTATCACCTTATCTTCTAAACATTTTTCCGAAAGCACATTATATAAAACAAGCTGTCCCCCGCGACTCCGGCCGAGCTGAATTAAAAAACTTAATTAGTAGCCTATGTGTTCTTCCAGATTATGCTCTACATCTGTGCATATAAACATCCATCCGCCTATCCATCAACATTTATTATATTAGTAAGAAGATTTTAATTAACAATTATAGGCTCACAAATTGCGTTTTTCTGATAAATCTTCAAAATACTTGTATGGTCGGTATAAACCTGAGTATTCCAAACTGTAAGCCGTATAGTATAGGACTACAAGACAATTATTAATATCTTAGGCGGATTACAGCAATAGGATTCTGTTCATATTATATGCAACACAATTAGTTTGCTGAACATTATGATTAACCAGGGCCGGCGTTAGGGTGCGTTTGGGCGACCGTCTAGTGCGCTTGACAGAAAGAGGGCGCCACAAGTCTGCGAATCTGACACTACAATGTTGACGTAACCTAACCTCCAAAGGAATGGTAAAAAAAGAAGGCGCCCTAGAATCTCGCATAGGGCTCCCTAATTAGGAAGCGAGGAGATCTAAAACCCTTATTGACTACTATTGTGCCCGGCATTGCTCAAGTTTATTTAATCCTTTAGAAAGTAATCATCATTCTCCTTCATTTGCGAGAATTAGACATAAGTCTGTACCTAAAACTGACAGGTTATTAATCTTGAATAAGTTTCATGTCAAATTAATATTTTTTATGTTCTTTTAGTTTGATATTCTTTTTTGTAAACTGTCTATCTCAAGCCTTTTGTTCAAGTAAATTAAAATTCACGAACGCAACCAAAAATTCTTTAAATGATCTTACCGAGACAGATTCTATATTAATAGTCTAGTAAAAAACGATACGAATTGTTTTGTGGAAGATTTATAGCGTTTTATAAAAACGGTTACAATACCTAAACTAAAGAACTTAAGAAATAATAAATATGTTCAGTAAGACAATGCTTTGAACTTGCTACTGTTTATAAAATTTTCTTTTGTTTTTGAATGGTTTTGGTTCGAAACTTAATATAACATTTTGTAATAATAATTCGTTTAAAAATTATTCAATACTATCTGTCGAGAGACTTAGTCCGACCGGATTAAAAAAAAAACTTAATAAGTTGTCTATGTATTCTTTCAGAGTATGTTCTACATCTATGTCAAATTTCATAGAGATCCGTTGACCCGTTTTGGAGATATCTCCAAACAAACATCCATCTAAACATTCGCATTTATAATATTAGTAACATAAAAAACTAAGAGTTAATTTTCCTTATAGCTGAGTATATAAAATGCAAATTAATCCGGTTGTTTGTTTTGTTAAAAAATTATATCTTCATTGATTATTATGTTAATAAGGCAATAATGATGAGTAACGTGCTCATGGCTTTTATATCAGTGGGTCAGTGGTGCTAAGGTCAAATATTGTGGGCGCAGACCTCAATGGACGCCAAGGACAATGTCGTATTTCGTATTCGATTTTCAATTGATACGTATTTATTTGGATAACCTTAACCTTCCGATGTAACCTTTTTATAATTCATCATCATCGTCAGCTCACTATGCGTCCCCACCGAGGGACGGAGCCTACCCTAAGTTAAGGGTGATTAGGCCATAGTCAACCACGCTGCAAGTGCGGGTTGGTTGACTTCACACATATCTTTGAATTTCTTCGGAGATATATGTGCAGGTTGCATCACGATGTTTTCCTTCACCGTAAGAACATCGGATAAATGTACATATGAAAATCGAAAAACACATTGGTACATGGCGGGATTCGAACTCAGCACCTGCTGATTGCAAGTCAAGTGCTTGACCCCTGAGCCACCGACGCTCAGTTGTTTTTATAATTACAGCTTTTGTTTTTAAGAAATGATTTTTTGTATTCCGTTACCGAAATGGATAATGAATAATATGAATTTATATTCGACGATTTAAAAATCTTGCTTTGTAGGACATTGATTTATTTGTACTGCCTTTAGATGAATATTGACTTTGTATTTAAAATTTTTGTATGGATTGTGGTTACTAGTGTAGAAATTGGATAGTCGTAAATTTATCACCATAAACCCACCAAACGTTCGGAATTACACCCAATAACCTACACAAAAACGTAGTCCCATCTCTTTCGGTCTCTTTGAAAAACAATCTTTTTCTAAATAATATTTAAATTAAACTAAAATAAACCCATTGTGAAAGTGTCTTAATTTTTTGGTGATAAATGTAACATTCAATGTTACATCTACCGTTGATTTCTGAGACCAAAATATGTTCATAAAATCTTTAACGTAACAGAGATAACAATATGTTTTATACGGATTTTGGTCTCAGAAACCCACAACTAGTGAAGCAATATTTAAAACTAGTTGTCGCCCGCGACTCCGTCCGCGCGGAATTGACAAAAAATTGTTGGTCGCAGCGTAATGTTATATAGCCTAAAGCCTCCCTTCATAAATGGACTATCCAACAAAAAAAGAATTTTTCAAATCGGACCTGTAGTTACTGAGATTAGCGCGTTTGTACAAACAAACAGACAAACTCTTCCGCTTTATAATATTAGTATAGATAATGTTACCTGCAAATACAGTGTCCGGCAGTCAACAGCCACCTGTCGTTAATGACCGTCGCTCCGCACTGGTGTGTACCCTGCCTCCACACGCTGGCCGCCCAGGGGATCTCTCCAGGCAGGCTCTCCGTGCCCCCCACGATGCGTCCCCGACGAGCACTTTGGACCCCACATTCTATATCAGCAACTAGACAATATGATGAACAATTATTAGTATTGCATTTCTATCTTACTTCTCACTAAAATATCAATCCGCATGTTGGTATGGATGGATGTTTGTTTGAAGGTATCTCCTGAACGGATTTTTAATAAAATTTGGCACACATGTAGAATGTAGTCTGAAAGAACATACGGACGGGCTACCTTTTATGTTTTATTATTAATTCCGCGCGGACGAATTCGCGGGCTACTGCTGGTTGTCTTAATAAAACTAATTATCACTCGCAACTCCGTCCAGTAGTATTAAAAATAGCTTAATTGTTTTCCAGACGATGTTTTACATCTATACTAGATTTCAGCGAGATTCATGTAACGGCTACATGGCTAGAGATACTTTTTAATAAACATCATTTCATACATTCGAATTAATAATATTAGAAAGATAACATGACAACATATTTTATGTAAGATTTGAACAAACTTGGTGAAAAGATCGCAGTTTTTTAACTTTTGAACCCTGACCACTCCGTTATTTAGTAATTCAATAATTTGCACACAAAAAATGCTTCGTTTAATGATCACTGTCGCTTCCAACTTCGTCTTTTTCCACTTGTTTAACAATGAAAAGAAATTATAAGCACTATATATATATATATATATAATTTTATGCACAATAAATATGCATATTTTAAATATATTTGAAGTATTAATAGAAATCATCGTCAATATTAATTGTTATATTTTCTTTTATTCCTATATAATAATATTAATTGTGTATCCAATTTTAAATCCGTTATAAAACAAAAAATCTCGTACATAATACTTTGTAAACTACGTTCGTTAAAAGTTCGAAACCATTACCATTTTGTAACAATGAAAATTGAAAAATATTTTGTGTACTTACGATTAACGTAACAAAGTCCAAACTTCGCACACAAAAATAATAAAAGGGTCACAATTAGACGACACATTTTCTCGACAATCACTTAATATCTGATAATGACACTCGAATGTATTGTATTTATATTATCTTTTTTAACTGGGTCTAGGATAAACAAAATATATCGATAATATACAACACTAAAGTGGGTTGCAACCACTCGTGTCAAAGTGCGCGCTCAACTACATCGCTTACGTTTTTCATAAGGATATTTAAGGTAACTATGATTTGTACCGAAATGACCCTCCTTCGTTCATTTGAAGGCCTGACCCCTATATGTCTTGATAGTGATGAGCCAGAGTGAGAAACGCTATTCTTATCGATAAACTACAAAATAACAAATGTCAGTTTTAAATGCCCAGATTTATTTTTTATATATAACATTTAATAAAATGCTATTTTATATCTAATTACCATATTATTAAAAAATGCAATTATTTGAAGAATGGTGGAATAATATTGAATGAATCAGTAATTAAATTAGAGTAGTAATCCTTTTTTCTTGTGTTGAAAATTAAAAATTACAAAATTTTATTTTTCTATTTTCTCTTATTATACAACAATAAAAATGTTGCTTAAAATTAAAAAAGTACGTATATCTTAAATTATTACAATTTATATTTAAAATATAGAATTTAAGTAATTAAGAAATAAAAACTTATATTTTAATTGAGAGTTAGCTGTAACAAAACTATCGATAGTCGATAGCTCGTAGTAACATCACTAATTATATTTTTCATTGTCAGGTTCGCCGCGCAGCCTCGGTCGATAAGCGGCGATAGGAGTTGCGGAACTGGATATCATTTACACATAAATGCACGACTATTATCGAAATATTTCTATGCAATGTCAACCATGAGTTACTACCTGCTGTTTGTAGGGTGACCATATTTTTTGTAAAGGTCACAATTGAAATTTCTCGACAGTGCTTTCGTTACAAATTACTACAATGGCTACATTTATTTGTCACGGTTTTGGAGCTGTACCCAACTTGACAAATACGTATTAATTGCATTACTACATTTTAACATCCATTTTTTAAGAAATCATTTCTTTTTCTCACAGAATGCCGGACAGACTCATCGTCTAACACTTCTTCACTATTTCCAAAGCTAGAGCTGCTTTTGCTTTTGAGTCTATAAAATTGGCAAACTTTGTTTACCTTAGACTGAATTGTGTATTAATTAGCTCTAAACGAAATCCAGTCATTGATCCTGCTTCAACATCTACATCAATAAATCACTATTTTAGTATCTAAGTTATCCCGAAAAAATATTCTAAAATCATGGTATCCCTACATCATTAAGCTAAACACCTCATGTGATTTAGTCGGCCAAGTGCATAGCTAAGTGGAGCGAGCCTTTGTCCCACATTGAAGATTTTTTAAAAACAAAATATTGGCACATAATAAGGTCTACCAGTTTTATTTCCAAGGTAATGAGAAGTTTTTTATAACAATTTTTAAATTTTGACACATACATATACGGAAGTATGAATATTTCAAAGTGCTAAATGCAAATTTTTAATGTGTTTTCGTTGGTTGTTAATTAATTTATTTCGTACGGTTAATGTTAAATGAATATTTCGACATTATTATGACCTTGTAATAGCGCTAAGATTATTTAACTAATACTTCGTAATTTCCTATTTAAATAGTAGGAAGAAGTAGTCGGTGGCTCAGTGGTCTAACGCTTGACTTGCAATCTGCAGGTCCTGGGTTCGAATCCCGCCATGTACCAATGTGTTTTTCGATTTCCGATTTACATATGTACATTTATCCGACGTTCTTACGGTGAAGGAAAACATCGTGATGCAACCTGCAAATATCTGAGAAGAAATTCAAAGATATGTGTGAAGTCAACCAACTTGCAGTGGGTCAGCGTGGTTGACTATGGCCTAGTCACCCCTAACTTAGAGTAGGCATCGAGCCCCTCGGTGGGGACGTATAGTGAGCTGATGATGATGATGATGAAGAAGTAGAAGTATATTGGAATAAGAAATACTTTCCAATAACTTAATAATACAATAATTGGGGCTCTAATAAACTTTAAATGGGCCGTTGTAAATATACTAAAATATAAAATTGATTTGTTAAAGTTCTTTCTAAGTAAGAGCTTACTAGATGTTATTAATTAGTAGCGGTCGGCAGCGACTCCGTCCGCGCGAAATTAAAAACAAAAATAATTAGTAGCCTAAATACTCTTCCAGACTGTTCTATGTCAAATTCAACGAAGATCCGTTCAGCCGTTCTGGTGATACCTTCAAACAAACATTCATTCATCCATCCAAACTTTCGCAAATCAATATCTTTAGAAAATCAACAAGTCGTAAAATATTTGCCTAACCGTTGATTTCTAAACCCAAAAATTCTATTAAACATATTGTCATCTCTGTCATTATTATTAAACAAAACAGAGACAACTATATTTTGAACGGGGATTTCAGTCGCAGAAACGCACAATAAATGAAATACATTTTGGTCAAGTGACATGTGCGAATTACTTTACCTTCGTTACTTCAGAAAGTGTTGCAATGACAGAAATGGGTCAAAGGTATATTTATGTCAGGGTTGACAGGTGACATGTTTTTTTTTAATATTAAACAGAAGCAACAAACATGAAACGATTGGGTTTTCTTTTACAATTTTTTTCGCTTTGACAATATTTAAGGAAACAGGCGATGAAAGAACAGTTTCCTGCTGTTCATTGTTTCGATTAATTTGTACATTGTAACAGAGTCTACAAAGATCTAAGGTACGGTATTAACAGTGATAGAGCCCGCTTTAACATCTTCGCACGAATTAGCCCGGCTCGCCCGGTGACATACCACGACCACACAGAAGACAGGCGTGGAGTGGAAACAATTCCGTGTTTCGTCTGATGAGTGTGCGTCCCGGAGGCCTAATTTAGTCTTCTTTCCCTTCCCACCTACTTATAAGGAAAGGATGGGAAGTGGAAGTAGACTTTCCGGATGAGAGGACGCATGGAATGGGAAAATATTTTCTCTCTGTGCATCCTCTCCTCCGTCGATTAAAGGTAGGCAACGCATATACAATTGCGTATGTCTATGGACAACGGTCACTTCGCTATTTCAGCGATTTCAGGTGGCCGCTTGCTCGTTTGCCACCTTATGATGTAAAAAAAAATCAACCCTTATTTCAACCCAGTTTCATGGATCTTGCTGAAATTTGGCTTAGATGTAGACCTTATTCAAGAGAACATATAAGTTATTGATTGAGTTTTTTTAATTCTTTGCCGACGGAGTCGCGGGTGATAGCTAGTTACCAATAATTTAAGGATAATATACTAAAATCAATTTTATATTTAAAACAAATAACAGGTCTCGACAGACAGACGGATGGACAACAAAGTGATTCTATAAGGGTTCCGTTTTTTTTCCTTTCTAGGTACGGAACCCTAAAAATAGGAAATTGTTATTGTTCATAGTCATAATCCTTCATACTTTATCTGACACACCTTTTTTAGAAAAATTCGTCGATACAGCGACCTTCCGATAAGCGAAAACAAATACGGAAATGGTAGAGCGGAAAAGTTTACACCGTTTATGGTGGCGATAACTCCTAAACAGAGGTCAGGTGAAGGTCGAAGTCTGCTTAGCAGTCTGCGACGACCCGCACACAATTAACTATACAAAAATGCTCATCCCACGCATTGTAGTTGGCATTGTTACACACCTATATAGAAAATTAGCCCGTATTGTAAGTGGAATAAAAGCTAGAATAGGAAGTATCGAGGTTTATTTTGATTGTAATTATTGCATAATTTATTTCTAAATATAAAATTGTATAGGAAGTCATTTTTATCCCCTATTTGGATGGAAGATTGAATATATTATGATAGAGAAGTTCTTGAACTTTGCCGACTAGGATTTATAAGGTAAAATAATTTATTAAAATTTCATGACTGAATGTTACAAGGCAGTAAATGCAATTTTTATATGATACTAGCTGTCGCCCGCGACTCCGTCCGCGCGGGATTAAAAATAGATGTTGGCCGATTCACAGTATGCTTACAAAATTTCATGAAAATCGGTCAAGCCGTTTCGGAGGAGTATGGTAACGAAAATTGTGACACGTGAATTTTATATATAAGATAAAAAGGTTCTACTGATCTTGTGTTTAAGATGCATAAACTTTGTAGACAAATATAACTGACCAGAAACCCGAGAAGAGACAGAAATAGAAAAGAAGAAAGTTCCCTACCTTTCCTCTTTCAGTAGCTACTTGCGAAGAGCATTTAAAACACGAAATGTCATGGAAATATCAATCTGTAGTTAGATTCTCACAGGCGTTTACTATTAAAGGTTTAGGCTAAGCGCCATCTGCGGTCGGCAACCTCAAGCGAGTTAAAGCTCTAAATGCATCTTTTAGGCAAATAGTGAAAATCTAGTCACAAAAAAATCTCATAGGTGTTTTAGGTAAAAGACACAATCTCTACTGGTCGTTTGCTATTTAATCTTATGAAAATTTGCATTTTGATTAATAAGATATTTGTATTTACAAATTATATAACATTAATTCAAAAACGGCGATCGCCAAGGCGTTCCGCAATGTGCATACAAAGAAGCGAATGTGTTACATTGTCACGGCTAAGGACGGACAATTGGGACAATGTCACATGTGCATCGTGATATGGACGTAAACGCATCATTCAACATTAGTGGGCCGAGCTGTAAGGAATGCTCAAAACGGAGGAGCTCCACGTAATTATATTAAAGCTATACTTAAGGTAAAATTTTTATTAATCGATAACTCAATCATTATACTTGCCTGGAATCCCCGCAAGCTGTCTAACGACTAATGAAAATGATCAGCTCAAAGCAAACGTTGTGCGGAATTTAGTTGACAAGTATACGCGGTATGAAAAAGTAAGTATTATCCGCCCAACGCATGCGGACCCTAACGACCAATGACAATTGTTGTAGCGTGCGAGCGCTTTGGCATGCGTGAACAAGGAATCTCCCGCACCACACATGCGGCCACGACCTAAATATTAAGTAATGCACTGCGCCCTTAAGATAGAGAAAATTACTTACCCGATAAATACTATTTTTTTTCACTCCAGCTTCTATAGGTTGTAAATCTCCGTGTCATGTCTTAAGGTCTTATTAATGTAATTCATAACTAGAACAAATTTTAAAATCGATTTGACGACTACAGATAATAAGTGTTAAATATTAAAAGACGAAACAAAATCTTAAAGTTAATATTAATTGACATTTATAAAACTTCTAACATCGTATTCATTGCCTTCGACCTCGTGAAGGTAAGGCCCTTGTACTAACGTGCAATCGTATGTGACTAGAATGAACATCTGTCAACAATGCGGCGCT